GCTTCACTCTGAGCTGTTCTTATGCTGGTGTTAAAAACATTTTGACCCAGGATGATGTTTCCAGCTGAACTTTTACCACTGCGCATTCCATTTAATTCTCTTCCTCCTATTAACACAATCCTCAACTGTGGATGATTGTTGCTCTGGCTTTGTCCTGTAAAGGGAAATAAGACTTAATTACTGTGAAGTGTTCACAATCATAGTGCTCTGTTGTTTTTCCTGAGACAACAGACAAGACTCCCTTTGTGTTGTGTTTTGAATAATACTCAAAACACAGTCGACACAAACCTCCCAGTTTCAAATGAGGTCTAAACGTTTCCAGTGAAACTGCCTCATTTTTAAAGAGATGAACCTCAAACTGATCTATAATCGTTAAAGAAGAAAAGCAAATTTCTTTATTAAAATGTTACTAACCTGAGTTGGAGGCCTCTGTTTTGTTAGCCATTGTTTGCAACGTTCCGTCTTATTTCAGACAGCTTGTGCTGAAACGAAAGTAAAATGAGTGGAATTAATTTGGCGGTGGTAATCCATCAGATGGGCAATAAAGACCAAGATCGCCATCGTGTGGTCAACTAGAAAAAGTACAACTCCCTTATTACGCTGTTAAATATGGAGAGCATTTACTTCAGGTTCTTGTCTGAACGTCTGTTCAAATTTAAATACAATAAAATTATAAACACAAAATGAAAATACACACACAAATCTGATAATTATGAATTCATTCAAAAATATAAGCTCCACTGTCAAAAATTAAGAGCAATATTTTTTTATATAAAAAGGGGATAGTTTTCCAAGTCCTATTTTCACGACTATTTCATACATTTATAATTACTTAAGTTCCCAAATACATATTTAGATTGCCAGTTAAATATTTGGTCAGCAAGCTAAATATTTAGTTCACAAATTAAATATTTATTTTGTGAACTAAGTATTTATCTCCAAACTCAATATATTTAGTTTGAAAACGAAAAATATTTCATTGGAACAATAAATGTTTAGTTTGTGAAATAAATAGTTTGCTTACTGACCCAAACTTTTCTGGCAATCTAAATAGTTAATTTGGAACTATAATATTTATGTAAATCCCTGTTGTGTTGTGTTGCTATATTAAAGTAATCGAAATTAAGTAGCCTCAGTCTGGTTCAGCTTCAGTCCTTTCTTTTTATTCTCCGTCTCCTTCTCCTCCTCCCTCACATACAGCAGTATCACATCTCCATGTACAGAGCTCCCCCTACTGTCCTTTTGGTGCAATAACAGAACATAACAATCCCTTTACTGTACCACAATGGAGAAATTAACTCTCTGCATTTGACCATCCCCTTGGAAAGCAGTGGGCTGCCATTGTGGGCAGTGGGAACGCCTATTAAATTTCACTGAAGATTCTTAGATGACTTGCAAAGAAGTAATTTTCTCTTTACCCCATAAGGCAAAAATCTAGTTCTGAAAAGAGCATGAATTCTGTATATTTTTATGTTAGCATATTGATGTGCATAATTAACCACAGTGTTTTTCTTAGTGCGTGCACAAGCCCATTTCTCCTCTTGCACGTTCTGTTTAAAAGTTGCTGTTAATACACAGCACAGCGTTCACAGACCAGTGTGAAGCATTCACAAGCGTCAGATAGCTATGGTGCACTCAGGAGCATGGGACATTTCATACTTAAGAGGAAAGAGACAAACGGAACAGAACTTAACTCATACAATAATGTATTTACTGAGAAACACTGTGGGCTTTCTTATAATAGTGAATGCTCTATAATTGTATTTCTGTTACTTTTTTTTTTTATTATGAACATCTGGTAACTGTTTATTCCAAAAAAATCTGTAATATTACAGCAGCAAATTAAAGTTTTTCAAAAGCCTGTTTAAAAGCTCCAAATGAGGCTTCAGATCATACAGCGACAATTACGCTGTCATTTTTTTACAGGACAGAATTTGCAATTGCTGACCCTTGTCCTTTAACTACTGATGGATATACAGGAATACAGTCATACACGTGTCAACTCCTCGGAGATAGCACAGGATACAATGTTTGGCAATAAAAAAAAAAAAAATGT